TATGTTATTTATAAATCAACTGCAGCCGAATTCACAGATAGAAAAAATGTGCGATACTAACGTGCAATTTAAATTTAAGAATCTCCTACTTAGTTTAGATTCAATAGGAAAAGTCGATCGATTTCACTGTATCTATCGTCTTTTCTACTTTAAACTAGATACTTTCCCTACCAAATAAAACTCAACGGTCCATTTTAATACGATAATGTACCTCTATCTTTCGTCTGCAGTCACATACACGACCCTCGTGTGCTAATTGAATTTAAGGAATAAAATCCAATCGCCCCGATTCTTTATTATTCAAGATCCAATTTGGATAAGGTCTGATCGGTCCGCGGGGTGAGGGCTGGGGGGGCAGCTGAGAATAAAATTGGATTTGTCACTCAAAACATAAGGCAGCCTTTAACTTTAATAAGAAAGTATTGTAATGCTCGTAAAACGAAATCGACGTATACTCTATGAATATGAATAAAAGATTTATCAATATGCTGGGTGGCCAAGTAAGGATTGAGCTGTCAGATTTAATCGAGAAAACCTAACATGAGGTATTAACCAGCTTTAACAAGATACTTTATCATTTTCAGCAGTAAGGAACGCATATCTACCATTGTCTTTATCTTAACTACCAGACGTTGCTTTTTGTATTTAAAAAATAATGTCATTGATTATTATTGATGTTGGATTTTAAATTATCACTTAACTTTTCTTAATGTAAAAGATGGCAAGCGAGCTGGTTGTTCACCTGATGTAACGTGATAACCGCCGCCCATGCAAAACCCGTAGGTTTACAAATGCGTTGCCACCTTTAAATGAAGTGGGCCGGCTACTTCAATCACCAGACGAAACGCAGAAGTATAATACTTCCACTTCACGCTGGTCTTCTATGAGGTCGCGGTACTTCCCCAGACGGACCTGCCCATTCGCATCAGCGAACTGTTCCGTGGTCCTACCTAACTCCACCAAAACCATTGAAACTATGATTAATTTTTGAATTTTAAAATTCGTTTAGCATTGTAACAAAGTCGCTTATGCCGCAAATCACTGATGTAAATGTTAAATTTAGAATTCCTTATTTTTATTCCAGTCTTATAAATAGCTAAAAAATAAAAAAAAATTTAAAAAATTACAAATTAATATTACTAGTTTTAATACCGTATCTTAATATCATCACTGCCTTAATCTGTCTTAGCATATTTATTATAAAAACAAAAAAAATAAACTTATGGTATTACTTTTAATTGTTATTTTGACATGACTCTAATCCCTTAATATGGCGCATAATGTTTTAGCTGTCTCCTCAATATATCCCTAACATGTTCTATCAGATTAAGATCTAGCGAACGTGCTGCCCAATCTATTCTTTCATTTCAGGTCTATCTTTAAAATATCTAAGGTAGATTCCCTGAATAATGACCTCAAAGTATCTTTGCACCATACGGATCCCAGGATGATGCATTAAGAACAAAAAAATCCTCCAATATAAGGCAAGCACGACATGTAATTCTTGCAACTACATGCTAACGTGTGGAGAATAAACACCCTCTAATAGGCAACACTGCTGGCTATGCTATATACTGGCAGAACTAAATTTGGTGTTGCTATGCATTTGTGTAACTGTTACTTGTCGGTTTTCCTTAATGGCTATTGTGACCGTTATTAAACCTGTGCTACTGTAACATTAACGTTGGTTAGCTATTATTTGCCTTCCTCAAAATTCCGCTGAACGTGGTATGAACGCGCTTATTACATTTCAATGTTACGAAAGACAAGATAATCAAAATGAACAGCTGCAGAAATTTTAAATTGCATTTATTTCGTTTTTATATATCACATTAAATAACAGGCTACTACTAAGTTAGCACCTTAATACTATAATTATTTTATTATGTTAAAAAGCGAAGTTCATGGACTCTTAAAGACTAAGAATAAACTCGATATGAAAAATCAAAGCAGCAGTTACACTCTCCGGTAAATTTAACAAAATTTCACCTTCACAGTGTAATATGAGACATGTTAAAGATCTAAAATTCGATGTAATCACCATACTACTACCGATAGAAAAATTGTTAACTAACATGAAATTGAAAGTATAAATGTTTAAAAGTGAAAGTACAGTGTAGTAATTTTACACTACAATGTACTAAAAATAATTATTATCCTGTTAATAGCCGAATTGTTCTTCCTTGCTTACGGTTTTTTTTTAATTTCTTATCATCATTCAGATTAAAACACCTTTTAATATTGTTGTAATCACTGTAGTAAATCCACTTTATTTGCAAACCGACGGGTGTTGTAACTGTCCAAGGGCGGCGGTTATCACTTAACATCAGGTGAACCGCCAGCTGGCTTGCCATCTTCTTGCGTAAATAAAATATCAAGTAGTGGTATTCACTTAATATCAGGCGAACCGCCTGCTCGCTTGACCATAAAAAAAATCTATAACCACCGCATCAGACCCTTCCGTTTCGATGCTATAATGATCAACAGCATCGTAAGGTGAAAGTCGCTACAGCTAACGAACAATTGAAGACAACAGACACCTTACAGGGATGAATACTGCCTAAACTCGAGCGAAACAAAGGCGACACGACGCCTCGTGGAGAGCGCCCAAGTAACAACACTCCCTCGCACCCTTCTCGACTCAACCTTTGTGGCGTAATTGTTACTTGTATAGGTAGTTCGCTAGCGTGCACATAGCGCGCAAATATTCAAGTTTACGTAGAATCAGCATGCAATTTGTCTGTCGCCTAACTCGCTCAAGCAAGCGTTATTTGTTTTTAATATCGAAAACAACTCGCTAAGTTGAGACAATACTAGCGTACTATAAAAAAGTAGAAAGTAAAAATAACTTTTTACATCTGTCTCTCTGATGTGTTCATCCTTATGATCGATTTCTATCATTAAGAAAAAATGAAAATTATTTGTCATCATGGTATTTGTTTATCATCATATATGACGTCATTATACCTTGTCATGTCACAATCATTGTTGCATCCACTCGTGCACACGATTCTTAATATATGTAACTTATGAGTTTACAACAATAGTATAAGTGGATATAGCTACGGTAAATCACTTTAAACCACACCATTCACGTGAAGTCTACGTGAAATGCATTAAGAGCGCATATAATGGGATGGATGAGAATACTTGGAAAGCGCTAACTCACAGAGAATATTTACGTGGCTCTTATTACAGCACACAGATCGTGTCCGAATGTTTGAGTCACGATGACTGAACGGTGTTAGCTGGGTTCGTTGCCTGACCCGGTTTATTTAAATTTTTGATGACGACGAACTTACCATATATTATGTTACCATAACTACTGTATCGAAATGCAGCATGCGTACGTACAGTTGAAGTATTGTTGCATGCATTTTTTTAAAACGTTGCCACACACCAGGAATTCTCTTTTGTCGTGGGTGCGTTTAAAGATACATATATTTTACATACACAAACACCCAGTCCCGAAACAATTATGTATAGGTCATACAAATACTTGTTCCTGGCGGAAATTGAACCCGCAACACGTAGCGCTGGAGCCGATATGTTCACCGACTACACATTTTTTTAAGGAAACGTGAAAAAAGCAAAGAAATATTGTTTCATCCCTTTTCTTAAAGTAATTTTCGGTGGTAGGGCCACGCAGCAGCTTCGGCTGTTGCACGAATGGGCAAGCTCATCCGAGTAAGTACCACGACCTCACAGAAGACCGGCGTAAAATGGAAGTATAATACTTTCGCGTTTCGCCTGGTGAGTTAGGTGGCCGGAGCCCAATTTTCAAAAAGGTTGTCAACGCATCTTAAACCCTCGGGTGTAGCAGACGTCCATGGGCGGCGGTATTCACTTAACATCAGGTGAACCGTCTACTCGCGGGGCTACTTTTCACATACAAAAAATTTATTATACTCGAAAAGAAACCATCTACCAGGTATGTAACGTTAAAAACATGTCGTGTTGTTAAGAAAACATTAATCCACCAATTTTTTTATACGCCATTATACATTAACTTTGCATACAGGCGATTAATAAAAATAAAAAACTACTGCATTTAAACCCCGTATACATTTAATGCTAACTATTAATAAAAAAATATATCATTTTGGACTGAACAAGTTTTCATAGGTAAAATAATTAAAATGTTATCAATTGAAACATTCTTCAAGCCCTTGTGAAAGTCAAAATCAAAGTCAAAACCAGTTCTCAAACTTAGCCCTGTCCAGGGATGAAACGACATTAAACTATTTAAACCCTGACACGCGATTATCCAACAATTATCTTTAAATTGGTACAGATGAAAGCTGTTATGCTTCGATCAAGAGCGACGGGTAAACGCGGTTGAGGCGATGCGATCATTGGAGGCGCGGAAATTGAATAGCCCCTCATATCCGCCGCGATGCAGGGAGAGGAGACGTGAACGCGTCAGCGTGTTGTGCCCCCGCACTCTGAGCGACCTAGCGCTGGCCGTCGGTGCCGGCGAAAATTGACTTGAGGATTCAATATACGAGATGGATAAAGTGGAAGTGGTATCATGGTATGACTGATCGCTTTTTTTTTCAATTTTGCAGGCGACCTGGTGGCTTAAATGACGTTAAATGATTATAGGCGTCCACGGAGGCGCCCAGGCCTAAATGATGACGATAATCAACCACACGTGAGTGGTTGATCATCGTCATCATTTAGGCCTGTTCGAGTTCTCTACTTCCCCACACCCTCCCTCACATCCACCTACATTCATTAACTTCGCGCACATTTGCACAAGTCGTCACTCTATCTAGTAGGGAGGGGGGGCGTCCTAGATTACGATAGCCATGGTTGCGATCCGAGAACCTTTTTTGCGGCCTTTATTGCGCACTCTATCATGCAGAGAAATACCGAGGCTAACCTGCTCCATAGCCCTCTGAGCGACTTTGAGCTTCCTCATACGGCCAATGCAAAGGGCTCAGTCGCAGTCCAAACATTGAATGAAGACTTTAGTCTACAAACATTGAGGTTACACGATGCCAACATCTGAAAAGATGGCCATGGACTTGACTGGGGTCGCCCTCGTCCCCTTCCAGCGTATAAGGTAAATCAAGTAACTCAAGTTCAATAAAACTTGAATTACTGCCTTGTTAAAACTTAGAACAAGTTCGAGAGAGAGTAAGGATATCCATCCGAAAATTTGAATATTCATTAGCACTCTTCACCTTTTTTGCATATAAATATATAATTAAAATTATATTTATAGAGTAGTTTTCATATTTCCTTCATGTTTCGTCAATATTTTTTAATGTAAAATTAATCATATTTGAATTTCAAATAAAAAAAAATCACCTAATAGAAGGCATTCCCTCTTTTCTCCTTACAATTTCTTAGGATAACTGTGAAATCCAGTATGAGAGAAAGCTATATATTTTCGCATTTTCGGTTTGGATTAAGTTTTAAACTCAATGCCTGAAGACTATTGTGGCAAAAGTTGAAATTGCAACCACTTTCATAGATGCGGTCAGGTTATTGCAATTTACCATTTACCGCTAATAATAGTGTTTTAGCGGTCTCTCCAACGTCACCGCAAGATTTTGTACGCATTTTGCCAGAACCTCGTAATTTTTTGTATGGTAAAAACATAAGTAATTTTCACATTTTTTAATACATCGACAAATTACAAATTCATTATATATTAACATATTAACATTATTATATTCATATATTAACATTATAAAAAAGGATAATTAAAATTTTTATTGGATTTAATTCCTTTTCTAATTGGGTTTATTGTCGCGCGTCCTATGACTAAGGTGCAGTACACCTTCAGTAGTCTTAACTTCATGAGTTAATCCCGGCTATCGTCAAAATTATAGAAAAAAAATCTTTTTTTTTATGAGAGAAAGTGACAAGCAAGCTGGTCGTCCACCTAATTTCTTGATTGGTTGGTGGTGGTGACAACATTTAAAATTGTGGGCCCCGGTTACCTCACTCACATAAGACTAAACGCAAAAGTTTTATACTTCCATTTCACGTCGATGTTCAGTGAGGTCGTGGTACTTTCCTCGACAACAGGGAAGACCGTTGCGTGTCAGTTATATTCCCAAAAAAAATTTTTTAGAAAAACAATATTTGACTTTACATACTTAGTTAACCATGAAGGGGATCCTATATCGTTCTTACTCAAATAAATATTTTAATAAACACAGGCGTATTTTTTACAAAATGTTACGGTAATAATGATTTTATTTATATTCCCTCAAGATAAATCTCTTATCTAGCCCCTTAATTAAAATTTGTTATTCTAAATGAAAAAATAAATAACTAACAAGATCATATTGAACCCATTAGCGTATTTCATTGTTGCTATGTATATACCAAAGGCAGAAATGTAAACAGGAGTCATTAATTATTAGCTCTTATCTTAATATGTGATTAACCTACAGTTTGCAGGCGAGTCTGTCACGAACTCACGCGCAACACGCGTGGCTTACAGATCGGGAATGTTACGGCAATAGACGGTAATTTATCAAACTAAATTAAATATATCTGTACAAATGTTACTCAGATTTTTAAATAATTACATCAATAAGGAAGTTAAAACAGCGACTAACTGAAACATTTGTAACTTATTCATTATTAACTTTTCACTTACTTTTTACTTATTAATGATATTGTCTGTTTTCGGAAAACGTATTGCGATAAGCAGCAATATGTCTCAATAGAAATTAAATCAAATCAATGTTTCTAAATCAATATGTGGACCACATCTGAAAGTATGATTAAAAACGTTTAAGGAAGTTGTTATTCTGTGAAGGCTATTAAATGGAAAAAAGCAATTACACTAAAAACATCTTGTTAACGAATCCATTTTTCATGTAGAAATTAATTAAATTACTTTTTTTTACGTCTAAACCAATTAATTGCCTACATTCTAATTGCTAATACATCGGGGGGGCAGATATTTTCGGGGAGTATTGCCGTGAGGTTCCCCGTAGCTCCGCTGTAGCGATAATAAGGTTTGCGATAGGAGCAGGTGTAGACGAGGAGTCGGACCCTATTATAAGTAATGACGATGAGTAAACATTTTAGAGAGGAGCGCTCCAGTTAGTGTTGCCGGGCCAATTAGACGTGTTGGGAGGTGGGACCGGGCTCTTCGCCCCCCGTTGTCCAATTAAACTCGCGCCGCCGACGCTTCGCTATCACCACCGCAACCCAGCTAAGCGTTATTGTACGCCACTTCTAAATAAAAAATTAAAAGTAAACAAAACGACCTATGTAAGTCCCACTGCCAAAGGCCTCTTCTGTATAAGTGCATAGTCTACCACAGGATCCTATCGCTGATTGGCAGATTTCAAATATCTTCGAAAAAAAAATTTTACACCACAGAGCACTTGATAAGTCAGCACTTAAAATTGCAATTAACAGTTTCATTGGTGCCAGCACTGAGATTTAATCTCAGGTTGCTCGAGTATGTTTAATTAAAAGGAAGCCTCCAAAGGTTGGATAGCCTTTGGGCTTTGGTTTGATTTTTGGAAAAGGCTTTGGTTTACTTACAAGTGGAAACTTCTAAATAAACCAAAGCCTTACAACACCGCGTACAACAAGAGAATCGCATCATCCGCTCCAAGTACAACTTCAACTTCCTCAACTATTGAGTTGTTAATTAAATTCACGCAAAATTATTGCGCGGATGTGTTTTATATGAAGCGCCTCTCGTCCCTATTGCGAGGTAGTAGAGACGATATCTCAACGGTAACGGTTATCTGAATCAATGTTGCTGGTTGTTTAATTACAACAATAGTGGCCCCTAATGAGAGTTTGCGCTAATAAACGCTGCAGAATGTAATCAACATGCCTCGTCGGTCTAATGAGCCGAGTTCCTTGCAAAAACGGGCGGCGTCGACATTTCACTGAAGATTAATTAGGCGTTCTGACTATACAGAGAACGGCCACCGGAAATGTTGCCTCTAGCTCGACATGGATTAACATATTTCTTATATGGCGCACGCGGGAAAAATCTCTCCACAACCACAACGACCAGTAAGCACCGTGCGCGCAAAGTCATTACCTATTCAGGCAGAAACAAGCAGTCGGGGGCGAACGATCCGCATTCAAACGGCTCCTATTGACAACAAAGTACAGTCTTGTAAGCGTCGTTAACTTAAATAAGCACGTTTGATTACGCCGCAGCTAGTGGCCGCCCCATTAAAACTTAACGAGGGCCAGCCCCGGGGAAAATAACTAACCCAATTTCCCTTTGCCGGGGAAATCATTAAAAGTCTTTAAAGGGGTCTTTTCATATATTTTTTAGCCCGGGGCGTACGTGCAAATAAACACATTTTTACATACTCGAACAAACAATTCCCCTAACGAGGCGGGGTGTAACGAGCGCGGGCGAGGTGTCCGGCTCGCACAAGCCTCCGCGCTCTCGCTAATTGGAAGGATACGCCCGTAGATGTGTCTCGTTACACGGGGCCTACCTGGGCCCGCTCGGCGCCGCGACGCCCCTGATTTATTGCGGCCTATACATTCAAATTGACAGCCCAGAGCCCGGCCGCGGCGTGGAGCGCTATCACGATCTACGCGCCCTAACGCCGGCTAAGCGATAAACAATGCGACCCGCAGCCGACTTGTTTAATTCGTGCAGCCCTGTTGACCTTTGCTTTCAGAACGGTTCTCGGTATGGTTGCCATTCGCAAGGCGTGCATGAGCGGTTTCTGTGGCGCTTGTGGTTCGAAGAAACTCCGATACAACGCGTTTGTAATGGTATACCATTATGGACACAATACTTAATGATTTACGTGAATTATAGCAGTAGTAAAGCACATTTGAAATGAAGCTACGATGTATTTATGTCTTTTATCACATTTGACCTTAATTGCTACCTTCGGGAACTCCAATTTAAAATTAAACGCTTATTTAAACAATAATGCGTAAATAAAGTTTTATTTTAAACTAGATCACACCATCCAATGTTTCAGGATTAATGTTGACTACAATCTTCCCCAAAGCATGATTTGCATGACATAGTTTATATATAATCTTTGCATACACCACATATACGTTGATGTTAATCCATAATCATATTGTTACCGTTAAAAATGTCTTTATTTATATTTTATTTTACTGTATATCTTTTTTGCCTTTCCCAACAAGATTGTAGAGAAGATGAAAAGACACAATAGTCTGAGTGAGCTGCTCTTGATTCTTTACTCGTAACCCAAATCGTTACTTAAGTTCCTACCTCACATCTATATTGATTAATGAACAATGTATGTTCTTTCGGTAATTACGTTAATTACAAGATTCGCCAATTAGCTGTATGTTTGCGTTCACTGTTTAAATTAATGAATGTGTGTTGTATTAGCGTCGGATACAATCTGATTCGAGACTCGTCGGTAATTAGCGACGTCTACAAAATACATCGAATTCCACGTAATTGCTGAGAATATTACGGCAGTGAACTTAATTGTTCCCGACTTAATTAATTAAGCTTTTGTTTGAAACTAACAGCGAAGTGTAGAGTTGGCAATTCTAAATTGGATCTTGTAATTACCTTACCCTCCCTTGTACAGAAACTGTCTACTTTCAATTATGGGCGAAGCTTAGTTAATGGAATCAATTATAATTGGGAGACAATGCGAGGCCTATTCTCATTTATGGAACGTTAATTAGTTCGGTTACAGTGGAATTGGTAAAAATAGAGCCAGAGGCGAACTTCAAAATTATAAAGCTCGACCCAGTTACGCATAAGAACATCACTTAATTAGTCAAACTCCTTTTTTATACATAGCTTTATAATTCATTTTGACTTGGAGAAATAAATGATGGAGAAATAATGGAGAAATAACAGGATGTTCATTAAAAACTTTTTAAAGCATTGGTTTCCTTGTCGAAGATCGTCATAGATTAAATTTAAACATTCTTGCCTCTAATTATAAACTTTTTGCGGAAAGAGTTAAAAAAATATTTTACAACAGTTTACTGGTATTGATAAGTGATTTACCTCTTTGTAAGTAACTTATTGGCTCGTAAATATGTAAATGAATGAAATAGCTTTTATTCCGCTAATGGATTAACAATCTAGATTGTTTAGCTATTTCATCAATTAGGATAGTAGTCAAGCTAGCTAGATCGTGACCAAACATTATTTATGTCGGTTTTATGTTTTACATTTTAACATACCTGTATCGGGATATTATTCACCAGAAAAACGACACTTGTTAATTGTGTATCTTGTCATTTTTTCAATTAAATTTCGTTACATCTTTGCAATAACTGCAAAATCCACTCGAAGGACTAAAACATTGTCAAAAATGTCAGTAATAAATGTTATAACAAAATACATGGTTAAGTTATAAAAATCTAAGTTCATAACAAACAAGACCCAGACACAATAATGCTTATTAAAATGTCCACTTTAGTAAAAATTTCCCACACCATTAATAAAAAAGTAACATAACAAACTTACAACACGATCATAATAAAGTTTAGCGTTGCGAGGGAAGTACATAATTATCGATGAATTTGAGAGCGGCGGCCGACGCCTCCAAGACCCCTGACTTTAATTAAGACACAATAATTAAAATAACAAGAGGCGAGCGTGGCTCGTCATTATGCGGGGTCGTGGGGCCGCATACGAATACACCGAGCGGGTACACTGCATGCACACTTTTAAGTCGTAAAAAAAACCCTACATTAAAATCTTACATAGTAAGGAAAATAAACACAGTGACAAATAACATGTAAGTGTTTAAAACATATTCATTATTTTATCACAGTAATCAATTAAATATCAAAACATATAGATTCAACTAATTTGATATGTTATCGTAACATAAAAACATATATGTACATTTACAGAAAATAATATTGAAATTCATATATTCAAGTGTACATTGTTTTAATCGAATTAATTCATGAGCATCGACGATCTTATTTACAAATGTTTGTGCGTAAAAAATAAATAAACATTACTAACGTACCTCAAATGAGCAACCCTTTGACGTCCAATAAAAGCACAAAATAAAGAAGTAAATCTTTTCAACAACCTTGTCCTTTGCACTATAACACAAGTCTTTGTATTTGAGCACACAACTAAATTTTCATGTCCACTTCAATTGTCACTTTCAGGGGGATTTTCGATCCTAATATTTTCCGAATAACGTGTGCTTCGTTGTATTGTACTGTTGACGATAAAAACGTCTCAAGGTCCCACCGAATTCGAGAGAAGCTTTTACACGGTTAGGGGATATTTACGAGAGCGCTCGAAACGCGATCGGATGTACAAGTCGAGTAAAGTTTGCGGCACCATAGAGTACCGGAGACGCGTCCACACTCGAAGGAGAGCCGCGGCGGAATGAGCCGACGATTGGCGAGTGCAGGCGTCGCGGCGCACGGAGCCCAGGGCGGGCGCCGGAACACGGGGTGGAACGGAACAACACTCTAATATAATGATGGGCACGGAACGCTAATGCTCTAATTGGAAAAGTACTCGCGCAATGCCAAAACTGAGCTTAATCCCCGAAATGCGAACGCTCTAGCGTTTAGCGCTTAACATAAGCATCGTATCGTGAAGTGATAAAGAGAAACAATCGAGTCGCGTACGTGGCAATATCAGCAACTCTTTCGGTAGCGGATTCCGGCCTAAATACAATTCCGTACCCCTCCTCCTCTCGCCCCTGCCCTTCGGAAACCAATTTTCTTTACATTCCCTCGCGGATAAATTTATATTCTTCCGCGCGTACACCCCTTTGGGAGCGCGGGAGACGGCCCTCGAAAAGTCAGCCGCTGGTCAGCGGCGGTTCGCGAAGAAGCGCGGAGCTCGATGATCGTGCCCCATCGCAGGGAATTTAATTTCCACGGACCGCCCGCCCCCGACGCCTTTGTCCGCTCAGTATTTCATTACGGCTCGGGCTTTTCTATTAATAAATCACTCTTCGCCAGCGCCGTTTAATTACGCCCCGTATCCGGCCGACGTCTGATTACACTTTCATCGAACATCTAATTAGTAGTGCAGCGGTGCCTGCAAGTGAACGTATGTATGTATGTATGTATTCTTTGTTCCGCTGATATTACACTCAGCCGCCATTACTGGAAGCAAAGCCTGCTGAACAAAGTTCGGAATGAACGAACTTTGATTAAAACCGACCGCCTACATTACTACCAACTTAATGGTATCGTCGTTTTATTATTAAAGCGGACCGTAATTGTTATTTAACGTTGAATATGCCCCTCATAATTTGAAAATGCGAGTCAGATCGTTCGAAACGGGAGTTTGTTCGTCAGAACATAACTCATTTGATTATTGAGTAAACAAGTGCTTTATCTATCAGTGGAATTGATTTAATGACGAACCATTCTAAAATCGATATCACTGTTATAATAACCGTAAATCACGGAACAATCTATATAATTCATTCTAGTTTTATCTATACAAATGTTATTAAAATCACTGATCATAATTTATTTCTAGACAATGGAGATCGCGCACAGTTCGGACCCAATCCATTTGCCGCGTGGCCGTGCATTGTTGACAACCCTACATTGTTGCTCAAACCCCATTAATGGAACCCTAATGGCGTTTCCTTTTAAACGGCGAGCGCAATAATTAGTGGTTTTCAAAAGCGAGTGCTGTTTGGCGACGCGGGAGAATTCTGCACCCCATCACCTAACGTAATACGGAAAACTCAAGGGGTACAATAAATTAGACGAGCCTAAGCATTCGGGCGTAATTATCGCGGTCGCCAGCCCTACGAGAGGCGATGTCGTATCGGCTAGCTTCCCAGAGGAAACATGCCCTTCCAGGGATTTTGCATTTGATGCAGCCTTAAATGATCGGAATTAAGACGCAAATAACATCATCAACAGAATTAATAGTTCTCCGCTAGGAAGACCGATGCAGTCGCTTGTTTTTAAAGAATACTAGCGATGACTATTCGGAGAAGCGAAAGCGATTGGAGAACACGTCGTGAGTCCGCCGTTCCGGCGTAGTGACTCAAGACCTTTTTTAATTTCCTGGAGCGGGCGCGGAGTCGCCAGCGCGGGCAGCGGGGCCCGTTTAACTTATTGCCACGGTTAACGAGAATACGCCGCTGTGTGCCGGCGAAATTGAAGGATTTACTCTGCGTCCCTCCTTTATTAAACGTAGTGCACACCAGCGAGCGGCGTCTGTGTGCGTGGCCGGCTGGCTACACGCATGTCGAAATTACATTTCACATGACTCGTAATAACAAGGGTGGGCGTAAATCACGGGCATTATTAGTTTCTCCCGTTACCCGCGCCATTTGTCACCTATGATATGTGTTATGTATTTGTATTTATCCAATAGAATGCAACATCTCTTTCGATCGAGTGAAATTAAAATGTTGCATGACGACGCGGAGGTATATGTGGTTGGTTGTCAACTCCATAGAGTTAGAGAACTGGGAGAAAATACGTTAAACAAATGTTTATGACAGAACATTTTATTTACATTAAAAGTCATAGAACCGAAATAGTTTAGAGATCACACGAAAGGCTAGAAGCAAATGGCAATATCACCGGACTTCCTGTAAGCTAAGCGTATCGCTTAAAGTTTCGCAATATACGCGCGCGGAGAGCGTCCTTTATTAAAAACTATTCTCACATTTTTAATTAAAACTTGTGTTCCCACTAAAACTTTATTTAAGCAATAAAGGCTCCGCAATTAGCGGCCCTGTCCCCGCCGGCGACTTTGCCTACTTTCCTCGACTTTAATGAGTGTTTTTTAATAAAGCTCGAGACGGCAGCAAGTTTATTAATTTAGTTTAACTCATGTCACGGCACCGGACCACTAACGCTGCCCTCTACGTACCTATACTTTTTTAATACAACCTTAATCGTCTCACCTTACACGTGGAAGGCATTTAATTAAGTCCGCGTAAAATGTCGTAATGTGACATTGTAATATTACTAAACTCATTACCAAGCTGAATATAAAAGCAGTAAAGGGGCAATTATCAGATGAAGCAATAAATATGCACTGTGCCTATAAGCAATTTAATAAGAAACCTGTTTACGTTTACGTGCGAAAAAAAAAAAGAAAATGAGTTAATTTTAAAAACTTGATTACACATTTCTGATTGCACCAATGTGCTCATATACGTTACCAATGTAGAACCAGTTATGAATAATTTCCATGAAAATTTAAAGGCCAGTAAGACTCGATTAAAAATGAGCACTTGGTGGTTAAGAGAATTTTAAAATTATCGACTGACAGTCTAAAAGGAAACGGTAAACTTAATATATAATCACGAAAGACAAAATAACTTGTTTACTAACCAAGTAACCACATCCATACTCTACACTGATAACTTTCACGATGGTAATCATCGAGATATATAACTTGAAAAGTAAGGTCAAATAACCACTTACAACTCACATTATATACATATTTGGAAAGCATAATCATTTTATGTGATGTATACATAATAAATTTTATAACAGACACAGATTTAAAAGACACCTGCAACTAAACACCGAAGCTTACTTTTATCCATAGCGGACGTAACAACGACGACCAACTTATAATTGGCGACTTCAAATTACGAAAATTGAGCCTACGCTTAAAATAGAAAATGAAATTATTTCGATAATGTTAGAAAAAAAAAGAAAAATATTGTAAAGGGGGCTTCCCTGAAGGCACATAATGAGTCGAAAGTAGGGATCGCTGTAGGAATGAGAACTAAAAGCTTGAAGGATGCGGGGAGCGATTGCATGCCCCCCCCCCCCCTCCAAGTGTTCCGGCCATAATTACATTCCCGTGTCTAACAAATGGAGAATCGGTGTTGATTTGTGTTCAGCGAAGCCCGCGCGACCGATGCCTCGCTACGGCGGCTGGGCCGAGTTGGGCGGTATCCCGGCCTTCGCCAGAATTATTTAAGACACTGTTAGCTCTGATCTGCCCAAATGCGCTCTTTATTCAAATCGACGACCGTTACATTTGTTTTTGTAAACTAGAACAACCTAGATTAGTAAATCCCCGTACTTTGTCGGCTCTTTCAATTTGTTACGTTTACACTGTGACCGTGCAGATTGAGTCCAGATAACTTGAATGATTCCGAACGTGAACCGAATATAACATGTCCTGAACGGAAAGCGGATGCAAATTTTCTCCTTAAACTGCTATGGCTAAATATCGTCGAATTATGAATTAAACCAAATGTATGCGTTTTGATCCAATAGGTCTTTTTAATGCTAAAAAATAATAAAAAAAAAAAAATAAATACCTAATACACATACAGTGAAGATATCCACAAAGATGGCTCTGTACTTCCAATGAGATTAAAGGGATATCTAAGCGAATTCAATTTTGTCGTGACATGATTAAATTTGTAATAATATCTTAGCATCTAATGATGTAAATAAGCACTGTAATGTAATAATATCCACCTTGATCCTTTTGTGAGCACAAAATGCATTTGCCAACCGAATGCCATAAAAATCTAAACAGTCTGACGTACCGTCTGTCGGTAATTACCAGAGTATAAACTAAGTGTAAAACGTTGCACTCGGCTATCCGGCCTAAAAGCTTTGCGGCAGATTGAATCACCACATGGATTTTCCATTAACGCTACTTTTCGCGTGTTCTGCTATTATGCTATCGTGATTCTTTCCATTTCATGCTGATATCGCATAATCTAAATTAAAAACTGTATACATTAAGAAAAATAAGTTATCGTCTAGCTGTAGTCGATCATTAAATGAACAGTATTCATCCTTACAAAAAACACAGCTGCCACCAGAGATCTGTCATTTCTCGTTGATTCCCCGTGATGTAATCATCTTAGACAATTAAGAAGGATAATATCCATGCTTATGTGAGACCTGAATACTCATTTTTTAGATTTATAACGAAGCCCAATTAAAAAACAAACATCGTAACAATACCATTTTGTGCTAGTTAAAAGCGCGTGCCTCGGCCATTCCAGACGCACGTAGTGCTGCAATAAAGAGGAGGCGGCGCCGTCGACTACTAAGTATCGGTTTCATAGCTGAGGCATCGTTTGCGCAACGGTTCACACGAAACTGGCGAGGAGTCGTTAGACCGGTCGTATATCCTCGGATAGCCGCGAATATTGGCCCCGCTAACAATGCGCGTCTTTATAAGTTTTTAACGAGCTCGGACGGTATAAATTATGTGCGCGGCGGGCACTGGGTCTCGTTATCTCGCAAACGGCGCACTAGCGGAAGCTTAATGTAGCGAGAGCTTTATTGTAGCCACTTACGGTCGGGGCTGCAACATGAACTACTTGTACAAAACTATTGTCGTGCACGAACCGCACCGCGACTCATTCGGTACACGTCTTGATACGAATGTTAATTTGTTCTATCACGTCTCGTTTGAAATTCAAACGCCTTACAACCAGTTCATTGTATTGCCTAGTAATAGCGTATCAGGCAAGCTTTTGTTTGCTGTCCATCATCTATTTATTTATTTATCACGCGTGAATTTGCACGGAAACTTTTCTTATTTTGTTTAAATCAGTGACGATTACATCAAATTAGCAAAGCAATTGATTTTAAATTTGTATAAAAAAGGTTTTCGCCGCAGTGAGGATATGATTTTGCCGGAGGACGCAGGTTCTAATCCTCACAGCGGCAAAACATTCCTTCTACTTTTCTATAAATTTTTAATTTAATTTCCAATACAGATAATACCACTATAAAATTGATCATTTAAAAAGCAATAGAATGTTAAAGCGATTAATGACATTATTATATCTCTAAAATACTGTTGACTGTTGTATGACCATAAAGTAGCTTCTGTTGTTGATTGGATAAACTAAAACGACCGGGGATAGCTAAGGATAGCTAGAAATTCGATCATATCTTTTCTGATATATATTTTTACGTTTCGTCATTTAAGTGATGTAACTAAAGGTCTACTCTCTTAAAACCTTTCGACGCATTTGCAATTGTACCACACTAAAACATATCATGCTTTATTATTCACATTTATGCAGGACACGACGAAACGAGTTTCCATAAACCTTCGCAAATTAATAAGAGGTCTCAGCGTAAGAAGTTCTGACCTAAGCCAGCTCCGAGTCAGAACTTAGGAATTACGACGCGATTTATGTGGTGGCCAACTAGTTTCAGATCACCTTCGTGGTCTTATTTATAACTTTATATACCCATATATATAGCTGCTGCTACTAGCTGATGCGGCAAACGTTGTTTTGTGGAATTTCGTAAAATCCGCTGACCTCTACTCGACGAAAGGAATATTCCTCCTAAATTTCATGTATCTACGCCTTATGGTTCCAGAGATATCATGATTAGTCAATTATCGGTGGAAATGTCTTGCATGTATATAAAGAAGATATTTTTATTTACTTTTAAAATTAACATCTTTATTATAATAAAGATAATGATTAGTAGTAATCTGCATCATAATATTATCTGTAGATTTGTCATCATGAAGATGTATATCAAAAGACATTATGTGCACGATAATAGGTGCATTTACTTTCCTAATTATTTTTCATCGAACCTATTTCATCCTAAGTGACTGGAATTGGATCCAGCTCCATATACAGCGCGTCGTTACAACCGCGACAATAAATGAACACACATCTAACGCTACTTGCCAATAATCATAAAAAAATATAAGCGTTAAAAAAACCCATATAATTTTTAAAAAATTATTTTTCAAACAAACTAATTAAATAAAAAAGGAACAAAATTTGTAACATCCTATACAACTGGCTGATTCATTCATAATATTTACATTATAAACGACAACGTCGCAGTCGTGTAGTAGCTACAAACCTTACAACGTGTACGTTTCTAACAGTGTGTTTTGTCTCCTTTTAAATTCATTCACTCATTCATATGGTTTGTACTTATAATTTTATACTTACAAGGTGTCCTAAAATTGTTTGTTTTCAAAATATTAATAACTCGGTAAATTAATATTTTTAATAAAAGTAACTTATGTCAAAAAAATTTAAAAGTAAACCTCAATATGTGTGTTAATTTATTGTCGCGGTAGTAAGGACACGTTGTATCACTACTCAAAAGTATGCTATCGTGCTATATCTATTTCATGTAAAAAATCGAGTAAACCTGGACTATAACATAGTCACTGCTACTGCCTTATATATGTATTGATATATTGTTTTTACTATCGTTACTTATTTTTTAATAATAGGTTAAAATTAAATTGACCATCACCA